GACACCGCCACGGGCGCCATGGAGACCGGAGGAGCCATGCCCTGGGCGATGGTCTGAGCCAGAGCAGCCGAGAGCGGGGTGATTTCGGGGTTCATGGGGGGCGCTGCGTTGGTGGGGGGCGCTGCCTGCGCTCCGGCCGGAGCCACCAAATCCTGTTGGGTGACGGGCCGTGGCTGAAGGGCCTGGCTGCTGAGCGTGGTGTGGGTCTGGGCGATGCTGTGGTTATAATTGGTGACAGTGCCCACCGTCGGGGCCAGGGTCTGCTCGGTGGCCGTGGCCGTGGAGCTGAGAGTCATGACTTTGGCCTGGTTCCGGAACTGGGCATTCTGCTCCAGCAGCACCTCGTTGGTCGCCAGCAGGTTGTTGACCTGCTTCTTGAGGTCCTCCACGCGCTTGCGCAGCATGATGTTCTCCTCCTCCAGGAGCCGGTACTCCACCGTGCGCGGGCTGGTGAAGCTGTACTCGTAGGTTTCGAAGTGCAGCCCATCCACCCGCCTGCGCTTCAGCACCGGGTCGTGGTCGTCGTAGCGGTCGGGGTTGTACATGACGTCGTAGGGGTCGTAGCGGCGCACGGTGGTGGCGATGCCGGGGTCCCGGGCTGCGATGACCCGGGCGTCGTACTCGTACTCCCGCTGCAAGTGCTGGAACTTGCACTTGGCTCCCCGCTGGCAGTCGCCCTTCAGGAAGTCCCTGCATATCGGCACCTCCTCCTTGCTGTTCGGCAAGTCCGCCGGGGACAGGCCCAGCCCAGCCGCCACCTTCTGGCGCAGACGCAAGGGCAGCTCCCCCGTCTTCTTGTAATAGTCCTCGTCCTCCTTGGTGCCGTGGATGAAGCGGCAGTTGAGGCGCACGCACTCCTTGTTCTGGAAGTCGTGGCAGAAGATGAATTCGTTCTTGCGCACGCCCAGGTTGGTGACCTCGCTGATGTCGGGGTGCCGGAAGCGGCAGCGCTTGCCGCGCTTGCAGACGTTGCGCAGGAAGTCGCGGCAGATGTCGTCGGAGTTGGCGCCCGCCTCGTCGCTGCTACTGCCATTGTTGTAGTTGTCGCGGTCGGGCATTTTTCCACCCACGCCCTCCCCTCCTGGTGGCGGGAGCTCGAGCAACTGCGAAAAAGGAGAGGAGGTTGGGAGTGAGAAAACAAGTCGGACAGGGGGGAAGTGAGGGATCCTCACTGAAACGGAGGAACTGTTCTGCTGTAGCTGGCAGGGAAATATCTGCCCTGAGGCATTACAGCAAGGTGCCGGCCTCTGCTGTGGTTCAGGTTAGGACCAGCTTTCAGGAGAACATTGGACTCTTAGTGCTGCAAAAGTCGCATGGCTACCCAGGCTGTCTTGAAATGTGCTGTGCCTCATGGGGATAGTGGGTAGGGTTAGCGAGCCAAATTTGAAGCCATTTGACCAAGGGGTTCCTGAGATACAGGCCCCAGCCCCGCAAACAATCAGAACCCCTCAACTTTGAGAGAAGCGATCAACTTTTTTTTTTGCACAGACCTTGTTATACTGGTTACAGCACAGGAGCCAGCTCGACACTCCGAACTTTGCCTGGACTGAGAACCAGCCACTGCATAGAAACCAAGAGGCTCAGACTCCTTCCGCTACAAACCAACATCCACAACTCTAGGGGTCCAAATGCATTTAACATCCGACTGTCTTTTGACCCCAGCAGACCCTTCAACAGAGACGGCCTGTTCAAAAAGGCTCAGCGTTACCTGTAAGATCCAAAATCTTCAACGTCACCCCAGGCCGGATCACAGCTAGAGGAGCTGACTTGATTTGAGATCCAAGTCCTAATGAAATTAAAAAATAATCAAAACAAGCTAGTAGTCGCCGATTTTCTATTAGTCAAGTCCAAGGCGGATGGGGCCAATTTCACAGCTCTCTATCTGACGTTAGACAGGATTAGGGCCCAAATCATAAACCCAACTCTACATATAAAATTATGGGGTCTAAATTAGCTGTTGCCACTCAAGAAAGAGACCTTGGAGTCATTGTGGAGAGTTCTCTGAAACCATCCACTCAATGTGCAGCAGCTGTCAAAAAATCTAACAGAATGTTGGGAATCATTAAGAAAGGGATAGATAATAAGACAGAAAATATTGTGTTTCCTCTATATAAATCCATGGTATCCCCACACCTTGAATACTGCGTGCAGATGTGGTCACCCCATCTCAAAAAAAAAAGATATATTGGAATTGGAAAAGGTTCAGAAAAGGGCAACAAAAATAATTAGGGGTATGGAATGGCTGCCATACGAGGAGAGATTAATCAGACTGGGACTTTTCAGCTTGGAAAAGAGACGACTAAGGGGAGAAATGATAGAGGTCTATAAAATCATGACTGGTGTGGAGAAAGTAAATAAGGAAGTGTTCTTTACTCTTTCTCATAACACAACGCACACTCAACCTGTGGAACTCCTTGCCAGAGGATATTGTGAAGGCCAAGACTATAACAGGGTTCAAAAAAGAACTACCTAAATTCACGGAGGACAGGTCCATCAATGGCTATTAGCCAGGCTGGGCAGGGATGGTGTCCCTACGCTCTGTTTGCCAGAAGCTGGGAATGGGTGATGGGATGGATCACTTGATGATTCCCTGCTCTGTTCATCCCCTCTGGGGCCCCGGCCCTGGCCGCTGTTAGAAGAGAGGATACTGGGCTAGCTGGACCTTTGGTCTGACACAGTCTGGCCGTTCTTATGCTCTTAAATCAAGCTGGCAGCTACTTTTATTTTAACTCACACCCGCCCAGCAGGGTATGTGGAATCGCCTTGCTGCCACACAGCTTAGTGTCAGATACCCAGGTGTGTATCTTCACAGCACGTGAGGTACAGCAGCAGGTGAGAGCTCTTGTCTGAACTCTGTATCCTGAATTGCAGACATCTGAAGGGTAGGGGAAGTCTGTCATCACATATGGTTACATCCAGAGGCAGAGGGTAAACTTTCTAGGGCAGGGCCATTGTGGCACGTACAGCAGCTGGCGCAATGGGGTTGGGATCAGGGCCCTCTGAGCTACGACAACACAAATAATAAATAACGTTCTACCTGGCTGACCGTGTAAATCAAGGCAGGAGAGCAAAAGCTGCTTAAGCGGCCATCCAAAGGCATGCGAGGGAAAGCTAATAAACCCTCAGCCTTTTTGACTAGGCCTGGAAGGGACCTCCTGGGTCAGAGCCCAGCCCCCTGCTATTTGTATCATACGAGCCCATTCATAAAGTTACTTCATGAAAACCTGAAGGAAGTGCCACA